GTGTGTGTGTGTGTGTGTGTGTGTGTGTATATATATATATATATATATATATATATATACACATATATATATATATATATATAAAAACAAACAAATCAAAACACCCCACAGGGATATATGAATGAGTGAGTAGGTGAAATAATGCAGGATCTTGTTTCATATTATTTTACTTTTTTATCTTGACTTGGTAGGGCTCTAGAATAAGTAAAATATAATTAAGTATTATATTCCACCATTGCTTATAAAACCTTTGAGAATCAATATATTTCAAATAGACTGCAAGGCACTACTGTTCCCCTTTTTGATTTGAGCAGCTACCCAAAAAATGTGCATTTAGTTGGTTGGTCCAGTTAGGAGGAGAAAGTGGTAATAGTCAGGTACTTCTCTGATGTTTATTTACAAGGATTGTACAGAGTCCTGTGTCTCTGAATGCAGAAGGAATCAAATAGCAGAAAACAGCTTCTTTTGCTCACAGCACCGAGAGTACTTTTAGCCTGCGCCCCTAACCCAAAAACATCTCCCCATATATCTTCCAGGGTCAACCTCTGTCAGCTGTTTCTTAAGGCACTCTCTCTATCTCCCATCCCTATCTCTCTTTTCTTTTGTTCTGCCTTCTCCCTACCCCCAATCCTATCTAAAACAATATTCAACAAAAGCTCCTGGGTGAGTTCACCTACTCCTTGTCTTAAGTGGGAGCTTTTATTCACAGTTATGCTAATTGAAAGGTGTCAATCTCCATGGGGTTTTTAACTTAACCCATAACAAGGTTTCAGTTAGCTCATATCAGTACATAGTGTCCTGAGAAACCTGAAAGCTTTAATTTCTTTACTGCACAAGAGGGGGCACATTACTAATAAAACAAAACACCTGAATCATACTGCATCTGTGTAGTGACATTTCAGTAGGTGAAAAATATAGTTGGTCATACAAGAATACTCTTCTCACTTTATAAAAATCGTGTCCCCCCTGCCCTTTATGTGCGTGCATTGACGTAGGTCATGAGCCTTCAAACTCTTTCTCATATGAGTGCTTCCATTGATTGATTGGTGTGACTGCGTAAGGACTGCTTATGCATCAGCCCTGGTCTACATTAAAAAATTAATTTGGCTTAACTGCATTGCTTAGGGATGTGAAAAATCCACACCCCTGAGCTGCGTAGTTAAGCCAACCTAACATTTGTGTAGACCGGGGTGGCCAACCTGTGGCTCCGGAGCCACATGCGGCTCTTCAGAAGTTAATATGCGTCTCCTTTTGTATAGGCACTGACTCCGGGGCTGGAACGACAGGCGCCAACTTTCCAATGTGCCGAGGGGTGCTCACTGCTCAACTCCTTGCTCTGCCACAGGCCCTGCCCCCACTCCACCCCTTCCCAGCCCCTCCCCTCAGCCTGCTGTGCCCTCGCTCCTTCCCCCCCCCCCATGAGCCTTAAAACAGATGATCGTGAAGTGTGGGGAGGGAGGGGGAGGCGCTGATGGGTGGGGCTGCTGGTGGGTGGGAGGTGCTGGGGGGGGAAACTGGATGGGGGGCTGTTGACGTATTACTGTGGCTCTTTGGCAATGTACATTGGTAAATTCTGGCTCCTTCTCAGGCTCAGGTTGGCCACCCCTGGTGTAGACAGTGCTAGGTTGATGGAAGACTGCTTCTTTTGACCTACCTACTGCCTCTCAGTTAGGTGGATTACCTACGCCAACAGGAAAACTGCACTGAAGAGCTAGAGTGGTGCAGGTGCAGGGGAGTAGCTGTGCCACTGTAGCATTTCGAGTGTAGACAAGTCCCTAGCTACCATCGCTCGGGGAGATGGTGTTCCTACTGTGATGGAAAAACTTCTTCCGTTGCTGTAGGCTGTGTCTATATACACGTCTGTGCTGACATAGTTATGGCTCCAGCGCTATGCCACTGTAATCTCTATAGAGTAGAATGGCCTAAATTTTCAGGATTCAGCCCATAATTAGCACCATGTTAATGCAGATGAAGATGATTTAAAAAAAATGAAGTCAACTGGCATAATATTGTGAACAGCATTTCGTGACTGTTAATAATTTTTTTAATCCACATCATTTTTAACAGAGAACTTTTTTAATGAAACAACAATGGTTTAATTTTTAAAACAATTATAAAAAGTACACTTTTAAGGGAAAAAAGTTTCAGATTTTAGGGAAGGAAAGGGGTTTTGCACCTGTGTTTCTGTTAGAAGAATTGTTGTATATTTGCTTAATATAGATGCGGTGATTTAGTTAGTCTTGGCAGGATTGGCAAAATATGTAATACAATGGTATACTGTTGAACATTAGAAAAGTTGCTGCAGGCTTATCTGTACAGTGTATGGCCAATCTCTGAAATGGACCATAAAGGCTAAATTTTCAAAGAATGCATCAGGAATGCAGTTAGATGCACTTGAGAGCACCTGCTCAAACACAGAATTATTTTCATAAATGCAATTTAAACACCTGCTGCTTGTGCAATGTACTGTATCATCAATTATCAAAATACTCAAGGAATAGTTTGCTTCCAACTGCACACTGATCAGTGTTCCCTTGATTAACATACGCAGTCCCTCCTATTTGTGCTCTCACTTGTATTATGCAAAGCAGCTTCTGACAGTTCATTTTCTTCTGCGTTTGTTAACCAATAAGAAAAATTAATGCTGCTGTGACTGCTGCTGGAATGCTGTGTCCAGTTCTCGTTCTCAGAATTCAAGAAGGATGTTGATAAATTGGAGAGGTTTCAGAGAAGAGCTATGAGAATGATTAAAGGATTAGAAAACATGCCAAATAGTTATAGATTGAGCTCCTTGAGTCCATTTAGTTTAACAAAGAGAAAATTAGACTTGATTGCAGTCTATAAGTACCTACATGAGGGAGGAACAAATATTTAATAATGGTCTCTTCAGTCCAACAGAGAAAGATACAAGATGATCCAATGGCTGGAAGCTGAAGCTTGACAAATTCAGATTGGAAAAAAGGCAAAGTTTTAACAGTCAGAGTCATTAATCACTGGAACAATGTACAAAGACTTATGGTGGATTCTCCATCACTGACCATTTTTAAATCAACATTGGATGTTTTTTCCAAGGATCTGCTCCAGGAATTTACTTTGGGGAAGTTCTATGACCTGTATTAAACAGGAGGTCAGACTAGATAATTACAATGTTTTCTTCTGGCCTTAGAATCTGTGAATCTATAGCAGGTAAGAGTTAATTTTGCTCATGTCCGGTCCAAACTCTTAATTAATTTAGTATATGAAAATAACCTCAGTATACCTCTTAATTCTTCAAAGATATTAAACTGATTCTTTGTAAATTTCTCTCATCCATGCTTGGTGGCCTCTTGTGGAGGAGGTGTGTGAGTTGGGGTCTCTGTTTCTTTCACTTCTCACCCAGATTCCATGTTGTTTTGAGAGGAAGTCTCCACTATTCTACCTCTTCCCCAACCTTTTTTTCTTTTGGGTCTCCTTTTCCATTAATAGCCTGTGCTGTTGCTTACAGTCTTCTCACCCAGCAGAAAAATGAAACTGACAGCCTTATTGTCAGTTTCAGTGCTGTCCATAAAGTTCTGAAGAGCAGTAATGAAACTGGCCAGAGCCTTTTCAGTTTCCCTCTGTTACTGTGAAGGAAAACTATGAACAATGGCAGAAGCATTGAGCTGGTCAGCAGGAAATTCAGGAAGACAGTATTTCATTTTGTCAAACTTGGAAGTTATCGTCATAAGCAAAGGCTAGAAATTTTAAAGTGGAACTTAAAATTCTTTAGAAATTAATAGCTTATCACTCCACTTCTGTTCATTGGGGAAAGGGTCTCACTTCCCAGAGGCAAATAGATGAATGGTATTCTTTATCTCATGCAATATTTTATACTATTTCTATATGTCACCATTTACATTTTTCTTTGTGTTCTATACTGTCATGGGGTCCATTCACTGCTAAGGCACCTCCTCCTGGCTGGTTTGGGGATTAGCTCCTTCCAAGTCCAATGCCCCTTTCTTCACTTCGTGGTGCCTCTCTCAATCTGGTACTCAGATACCCCTTCTTAGAGACTCAGTCCTCCAGCCAGGTCACTAGGTCCTCCCCTTCTAGGGTAGCAAAGTCCTTGGATGACAATCCCAGGCAGTCTTCTGCTCCATGTCCCAGTCTGTGCCTCTTCAGCGGTTGGTAGAGGAACCCAGCCCCACCCTCTACTCTAAGTTCCAGTCCAGGGCCCCTGTGTCTAGCAACTGTGATCTGCTTGCATCCAGAGCCTGTTGCTGTTTCCGCTGGACTCCTTCTTACTTCTCTGCTCTTATCTTCTGCACACATGCACTCTTCCCCCACTCTGGATTTATCAACCCAAGCTCTCTTCAGACTCCCTAACTCTGTGGTCTTAAACAGACCTTCCTTCTCCCAAGGAGTGACTGCAAACTACTTCCTGTGTAGCCCTTTTCTGCTGCCAAATTCCTGGCTTTATACCAACCCCGCCTGTGCCTTCCCAGCTGGACTCCATTCTCCATCAGCCTTTCTCCTCTAGGTGCAGCATCTCAAGTTAATTAACCTAATTTAACCTGCTCTCCCTTGTGTGGGGTGGACACCCCATCACATATACCTGATTGGTTATAATAAATTGTGCTCACGATTTGTTTTTTTTTTTTTAAAGGCACATAGCCCCATCATTTAATTTGCAGAAAATTTACATACACACTTTACAAATAGGCATCAAGTTTTTGAAATGTTACTAGTGATTGTGGGTACCTCAATTTTTGGATGCTCAGCTTCAGTTGCTTTAAAGAGGTCTGATTTTTCACAGGGTATTTACTCAGGACTTTCTGAAAGTTAAGACACCCCCAAAAAATTGATACAGCAAAAATCACTAGTCATTTTTGAAAATGTAGGCGAGGCATGGGGAACCTTTTTTGTATCAGGGGCCATTGACCCACCGAAAAAAATCAATGGCGGGCCCTGCACGTTCAACTCACGTGCCCAAGGGGGGAATGCAGAGGCTCAGCACTTCCTCCTGCAGTGGGACAAGCTGGCGCTTGCATCTCCAGCCCCACGGTAGGGGGTACCACAAGCACTGGCTCGCCCCACTGCAGGCGGGAAGCCCTGAGCCTCGGCGCGCCCCGCCCCCCCCTTCCAGGGCTGGAACCACAAGTGCTGGCTCGCCCCCTACAGGGCTGGAGCCACAAGTGCCGGCTTGTCCCGCTGTGGAAGGAAGCGCTGAGTTTCCACGCCCCCCTGGGAAGGTGAGTTGATCGTATGCGGCCCAGGGGCCGGATGAAAATGAGCAAGGTGTCCATATCCGGCCTCCGGGCTGTAGGTTCCCCATCCTGATGTAGGCTTTAATTCTTACCTGTGCTTTATGCCGTTTAAAGTAGTGATCAGACACTTAATGGATTCTGACAGCTTGCTTCAAAAACTCACTTGAGTTTCATGCCCGTGCACAAGTTATTAACATGAGTGTAAAGAAATCTCAAACAATTTATTTCAGAAACACCACCAATTGGGGTAATTTCTATACTTATCTGTGATATTGATGTACTGTATGTGAACCCATACTTCGTTACACTGTTGCACCTGTATGCACATATTTGTTCTGCTGGAAATAAAGTCCTGTAAACTTTCAAATGGAGGAAATGAATTACATAGAATCAGAAAGTAATATCTGCAGTATGCCTTTCATGGTCAGTGATACAACTAATCTACAGTACACACAGTGCTAGCCTTCATACTTACAGCATTTTCTCTTCCAATTATTGCATAAACTGTAAAACAATGATATATTTAACCACTCAGAACAGAGCTTTATTCTTTGGAGAACAAGTGTGCCTTAGTGATCATTTTTTTGTAAAAGTAAGAAATATAACGTATCAAATTTTGGCTTGAACAGCAAGCAATCTTTATGCTCATTTTTATCTGTCATGAACAGAATATTTTAAATCATCGTTACTGGGAAACTTGTAGATTCTCTCATGCTTTGTGGGTGTAGGCTTTTCATGTCAGAAACTGAGGTTGAACGCAAGCTTAATGTCTGAAATGAGAATGGTGATTTTAGGTCCGTAGCAGTTTATATCACAATTCTACCCCACTTGATTTGGCACAGTTTTGTATCATTAGTATCCTTATTTTAAGAGAAGTACTTGTCTGAATAGCTTGCAGACTGAATTATCTGCAGTCCTCCAGGGAGCTATAGCTATCCAGGTTAGAGCTAAGGTCACTTACAGAGCTGTATTAGAAAACTCACAGGGTTGTGCCTAAGCAATATTTACCTGGTAATTTTCGGAATAATTAATGTTCCATTTTAGATATGTTCTTGCACCATGCTCTTCACCATAGTATCTGACTGCCCTCCAGCAGTGCATTAAGTGATGTAACTGACATCATGTTTGCATTTGTTCTTTCATCCTCTCTCCAACTGGGAAGTGTGTACAGGGGAGTGGTTTTTTTTGTTTTGTTTTTTAATTCTTTTGATAATGACACATATGATGCTATATTTTTATGTTAGAGGAGGCCATGTCAGAGAAATGTGCCTTGCACTTAGAGCGGAAGGTGGTAGGTTTGTGTGGTCCTTAGTTCCCAGATCCATAGGCTTTTTACAAGAACAAAGATTATTTTTGCTTCTGGAACTAGGTCTCTAGATGCCTTCAAATTTATGTATGGGTTAAAAACAGGTTGTTTCTTCTTCAAAATTCTTTGTAGTTTTGTTTTAATTTTGTTGGAAAAAAATTGAATGGATGTAGATGAGCACCCTAGCCTCTTTCTGTCCCAAAACTTTCTGATGCCACTAACTATACAAAGGAAGTAAACACAGATTTACCTGCAGCAGACATTCAACAGATGTATATTTTTGAAAGCTGCTGTGTAATGCTGCAGACTGCATTTGAGGAGTTGTCAGGATTATATAAGTCAAGGACTTGAGCTAGAATTTAAAGAACTGATATCTTTTGTTGCAATGAAGAAAATGTATAGCAAACCTTTTAGGTGAGTAAAAACTAGAGGGGGTGGGGGATACACAGTATATTTCTGTACTGTTATTCAGATGAAATACTCCAAATTGATAACTAAGATCTTTATTTCTTAAGATTTTTTGGGTTATGCATGGTAACAGGTACAGAACTTCAATAATACTATAAGTAAGAGATGTTATGTAATTGGATTGTAATGAGTTGACTTCCAATATGAATGATGCAATGTTATTTTTTATAGAAAGGTGATTAAATTATATATGTTCAGATGTACAGTACAAATGGATTTTTTTTTAATTACAGGGTTGAGAGAACCTCAAATGGCTATTAAAAATCGAATCCAATGCTGATAGAAAGTCTCCCATTGAGTTCAGCGGACATGGATTATGGCCCTAAGTTCAAATGCTCAGACACTGTGATGATAGGTGGGAGGTAGAATACCCAAAACTGCCTTTTGCGTCACCTAATGGCCATGAGCAGGAGCGGGTTTTCAAGGTGGAGCAGTGCTAAACCTAGATACCTATTCTAATGAAATCTTGTTTGATAAAATATGTGTTGATGGATTTTTCCTGAAGTTGTTTACATGTTTTCTTGGTTTAATGGTGTTTTACTGAGATGAAAATAGTGTGATTAGTTTGACATTTACGGTGTGACAACAGCCATTGCTGTCTCTTCTACCACTTCACTGCTAAAAAACAGACAAAAATCATCCAGGGCTTGCTTTGTTATGCCTTGTGTTTCGACCATTTTCTATTCACTGGTTTCATGTAGTAGTGAGTTTGTAGAGAAATTCAGTGAAAGTACAAAAGTTTTTAACCATCAAAGATGTTTTATTCTTGTTCTAATGAAGTCTTGTTATTGTTGGTTTTAAATATGGATAGACTAACATTGCTCTTCTAGAGGGAAATAATACTGCTTTCAATATCTGGTGAGTCAGAAGATGGAAGATCTAGTTCCTTATAACTTGTAAAGAGATAGAGTGGCTTGAATGACACCTCCTTGCCAGAACCAACAAGTAGTCCCAAACCACTACCCAATTTATTTTAAAAAAAAAGATGCAATATACTATTGTCTTGATGTCTGAAAATATTTCACATTCTATAACTCTCTGGAAATGACATCTAGAGGGGGAAACTACTGATCTCTGTGTTCACTAAAAAGTAAACATGCATATCTAATAGTTCTATTCAACACACATCATACTTATGCATTTTTAATTTCAAATATTGCTTTGAATTCATAAATAACTTATGAGAAATGTTTCAGTTTAAGACTATCTGTTGATTCCTACTAAAATTTGCACATCATATACTATACCTTATAAGTGTCCTTCATTTTAAACTCATATTTTACCTTTCATGCACAAACCTGCTGCTCTCCTATATATGTAATTGTACGTTATTTAAGTGAGAGATACTGGAGTGGGAAACTAAAAGTCAGAAGAATGTTACTGATGTTGAAAAAAATGACTCTTACATTGTTTTATGTTTCTTACACTGATAGCTTTCTGATAGCTTTCTAGTGCTCCTCTTTTTAGGCCATTTTACCTACATATGGTTTGATTCTGCTTTTATTGAAGGGACTGAATAAATTACCAATGACATCAGTGGGAGAAGGATTGGATTCATCATATCCCTTATTATGTTAAGGTTCAGGGTTCCCCCTCCCCCCCCCCCCGCACATCAAAAAGGTCTTGATGGTAGAGTTTAGCGGAGAAGACACCAATGTGAAGTTAATGATATCACTTCTAAGGGAAACTCAGTGTTTCTTCCAATATAACAACACCTACCACCTTTATATTTTGTATCCCCTTTATAGAGTTTGTGTGTGTGTGTGTCACTGTGGCCTAGTAAACCATGCCCTCAACTGGAACTCAGAAGAGTAGGATTTTATCCACAGCTCTGTCTGCGGCCTTCTGCAATGACCTTGGGCAAGTCATTTCACCTCTCTGTGCTTCAGTTTCCATATCTGTAAAATGGGGATTTGATGATACATACTTCCTTGGTAAATCACTTTCAGATCTACTGATGAAAATGCTATAAAAGAGGTAGGTTTTCATCTTCTTTCAGAAAACATTACTGCAAAATCCTTTGCAGACTCTGCCTCTATAAGGATCACATTACTTTCTTCTTAAATCCAGCCACTTCTGGTGGTAGCATTGTCACAGCTGCTTCTTAACAGCACTGCAGAGTAGGACAGAAGTGAACAATAATTTCTCTTATTAAACTACAATGGAAATTGAGACAGAACAGAATATAGAACTGTTAATTGGAATTTAGCTGACATAAGCATAAACAGTACATGCAATTTCATCTGTCCTATATTTAAGCAATGTTGCAGACCTAACAAAAGGGCCAGATTCTGGAATAGTATGTTATACCTTCCCAAATTCTCATACAGAAAACAGTTTATAGAATAAGATACTATTCACTAAGAGGAAGGATAGTGAATCTGGCTTAGAGACAAATGTTGGCTAATATTTGTATCTGAAATCTTAACTGCTTTCTGAACTAAAGTAATTCTTTCTCAGGTGACTCATGCTATGGTTCACTTTACTAATTAAAAATTCTTTTAGAATTCTCCACAGAAGAGCTTACTAATTGGCTCTCAACAATTATTTTCCTTTTAACTTTAAGATAAAAAGCTGTAGTGCAAAAAGGAAGATAGATACTATGATGTCTCTTTAGAACAATGCATTGGGGTATGAAAAGTAGTTAACCAATAATTCATAACAAAATGTGAAGCTTACAGATGTTAGCCATGACCAACAATGGCCCTGAGTTTTCCTTTATTCTCTGGTCACAGATTGAACAGACTATCACAGAAACTATCATAAAGCATTGAAACAGAGAGGAAAAAGCTGGTGTATATCAGTGCTGCTTTCACAAATAAACCACAAATATGTTATGTCTAAGACAACACTGTTCAATGTTCATGAGAACCACCAATGACATGAGTTTTTATGAATAACACTAGTTACTGGCCAGTCATGTGTCATTGCACCATTATTCAAGTTGGCAGTGCAAAAGACAAGAAAACATTAGGAGTTAAGGGAATGCTAAAGAGGAAGAGGCTGAGCTGGAAAATAATTTTAAATACTGATGCTGTATTTCTTGGTAATGATGTTGTAAAGCTTTTAAAAACAAGGTGCACAACCACTCCCATCCCTTGTATTTTTGGCCAATCATATTTTTAGTTTCTTTGACATTAGCAGTTACTTGTCATGACAGCCACTCGTGATAAGCCAGGTGATGGCAGTAGTAGCGTTGATTTTAAGACTCTGTCTCAAATTAACTGTATACTGAAAAGAGAGTTCATTGTCTTGTGTTTTCCATGCTAAGCAAAGCTTTCATGATAACTGGCAGTAAAAGTGGGACTTGCAAAAAGAAACCACAACAAACTTCAGCTGGATGTAGCATCCAGGAACACACCTAGTAATGTTTTATTTCAATTTTTGGCAGCCTCTAAGAATAGTTAGGGGCTCTGGCATCTAGTGCAATGCATTTACTTGTAATGAACGCCCTAACCCACAGTTGGGGCTATAATAGTAGGTAAAGAAAAAGTCGTTGGTCTCTACTTCTGAAAGAGACGTTGTGCTGTATAATGCTCAATTGTTCCTTTCCAGATTCAGAGTAAGAAAGTTATTTATGCCCACTGATAAAGTGGTATTTGTTGTATAAAATCAGATAGGCATGTGAACAGTACCAAAAGGCAGCTAGTTTAGTGAGCCCTATTCACTGCACAAATGTGCTGTTCTCATAGAATCATAGAATATCAGAGTTGGAAGGGACCTCAAGAGGTCATCTAGTCCAACCCCCTGCTCAAAGCAGGAAATTTCTCATGAATTTGAATAAAAATGCTTTTTGTGGTTGCTGATATTTGCAATCATTCTTATTTTGTAGTATGCATAAAAATATCATCATGTGGGTCCCATGTCAGTATTATATCTGCCATGACTAGCTCCCAGTTAGGGGTCAGCTATTCCTCTCCATACAAAACATGTATATAACTCCCACAGATAATAAAGTTCTGAGTGTAATTCACCACAGCATTATACTAATTTACGCTCATATAACTCTATTGGTTTCAATTAAACACTGATATAAAACAGGAGTAGTACAATTCTGAATCAAATCAATGCATATTATTCAGTGGAGACTAGACCATTATTTGTATAGTTAGTGTGTTTCTAGTGCTGATGTTAGAGAATAAAAGGCCAGTGGTAGCATACGCTGGATAAGACTCCTGGATCTTGGCTTTAATACAGGGAACCCTTATAGAAAGCATGTGCTGGAAAATAGAGTATATATGTGGACATCGAAATCATATTAATTGCCTGCACTAGAAAAGAAGGGTCAGATTCTTAGGTGCTCCATTAGCACAAAGCAGCTGGGATGCTGATTTAACTGGCTCCCTGAGGATTCTCCTTGTGTAAGGGAAATCTGAGTTGTATAGAGCCAGCATAGCAGCTCTACACGGACACTCACCATAAGGGGCATTCCTGGGATAAAGGAGTGGTGGCTGGGGCATTCCTATGATCCAGAGATCCGAAGCTGCCAGGGGCATCGGACCTGGATGGAGCTAATCCCCAGACCCAGCCAGGAGGAGGTGCCCAGGAACATATTCTTGAGAGCCATCTACTGACACCGTATCTATTAATAACTAACTGTTTACACATGCAGACATAGAACTCTTTTAAAAATGTGCCCCCCTAATTCTGCCCAGAGTGAAGCTCAGTCAGACTAGAGCACTTAGCCACATGTAGTCCCGTGTTTATGTAAATGTTTCCTATTTTTATACAAAACCCTCAAACCAATTACAAGATTGTATACCATATTTGGAATAAGGTGTATGTTTTTAAACACTGAACAGAACAGAATACTCTCTTTATTGAGAGCAGAAACAGTTATTACTAAGATGGTGACCGCTATTCCAGACAATTTTGTTGAGGATTTAAGTGGTCTAAAGTGATCTAATACTTCTGTGCTGAATGGATTGAATGGACTGATTGAATGGATACTCTTTTGTATTGCATTATTTGAGAATTTTGCCATTTAAAAAGGGATGTTTTGTTGGCTTTTGACACCCTGTTAGCATCTTTTTATTTGAACCAGATGTGATGGGTTGGATCACAGAAACCCCCTTGGGAACTGCCAACTGATGTGCCAAGACTACTTCTGCCCCTGCTTTCCCTGCCAGCTCGGGACCCCAGCACCCTGTTGTGCTGAGCCAAACACGCCCGTCTCCTCCAACACAGACCCAGGGTCTGAATTACTTGCCCCAAAGCTGCAGACTTAACTGAAAGCAGCTTACAGAAGTGTTCTTGACTTTAACACTCAGATTCCCAACTCCCAATGGGGTCTAAACCCAAATAAATCCATTTTACCCTGTATAAAGCTTAAAAATTGTTCACCCTCTATAACACTGATAGAGAGATATGCACAGCTGTTTGCCTCCCCTCCCCCCCCCCCCCACGGCCTTAACACATACTCTGAGTTAATTAATAAGTAAAAGTGATTTATTAAATACAGAAAGTAGAATTTAAGTGGTTTCAAGTAGTAACAGACAGAACAAAGTGAATTACCAAGCAAAATAAAATAAAACATGCAAATCTAAGCCTAATACAGTAATACAACTGAGTACAGATAAAATCTCACCCTGAAAGATGTTTCAATAAGTCTCTTTCACAGACTGGACACCTTCCTACTCTGGGCACAATCCTTTCCCTGGTACGGCCCTTGTTCCAGCTCAGGTGGTAGCTAGGGTATTCCTCATGATGGCTGCCTCCTTTTCTCTGTTCCACCCACTTATATATCTTTTGCATAAGGCAGGAATCCTTTGTCCCTCAGGGTCCCCCCCTTCCCCTCTGAATTCCAGTTCAGGTGACATGATCACATGTCACTGTAAGACTTCATTACCCATTTGCCAGCACACAGGTATACAGGAAGACTTACAGGTAAAACAGAGCCATCTGCAGTCAGTTGTCCTGGTTAATGGGAGTCATCAAGATTCCAAACCACCATTAATGGCCCACACTTTGCATA